ACAGATATCCATACATGTACGGCAGATCGAGAGTGTGTCCCCGCAGGCCTGCTATCAGCACCAAGAAACCATTTCTTGTGTCGGCGCCTTGAAGAAATAGGCACCCGAACTGGCATTCCAGTGCGAGATTCGAGTACCTCACAGTACTAAATTCACATGGTCAACAATCCTCGCTAGGCTACGGTGGGCATAGTGATGGCCCGGGGTGTCAAGTACAACCTGCACATGTTTCCTTTGGCCCCAGCTTTCAACGAATGACAAGTTTAGTTAGTTTTTCCCAAATAATTGCCAGTGAATGGGAGTTTCGCCCTGGGAGCAGAGAATGTGCTTTCATTCCAAACCCCAGCCTCGCAAATGCAAAGAAATGGGCCCAAATTGCTCCTGCCCGACTACTGTGTGTCAAGACCATGGTCAAAACTCAGTAACGGGCGGCACATGAAGCGGCACTGTGGGGACCCCAACAAGCATTCCCTTACTTTGTAAAGGTTCCTAGGGATATCATCAATAGTGACACTCTATTTAATATGCCGCCCATCTGGCAACTGCACGTTGCTAGTGGTTGGTACACATTTCAGCCAAGGTTGGAGCGCTGGTAAACGATATTTGTCCCTCCACTGACAGAGAGCCCAGCATCCCAGGAAAAAATCTCTGTCCCACAATGGGTGAAACATGAATGTCCCTGGAATGATGCAATTCGTTTAAAACCACGGCATTCTCACATTGAGGAAAAAAAGCATTTGGTTCTGTTCTACAGCCCACCGTGCATTGCTTGTGCGAACAACGGTGCCTTCCCTACATTTTATTGTGGCAAGCCCACAATCCCTACCAATTAAATTGATGCTCAAATTGTACACACTGTCTGCACAACAGCTGCTCTTGAATTCCACTCTATCCCCTTGCCCCCCTCTCCCCACCTCCCATACCGATCCTTCCCCACCCACCCACCCCCACCTTTCTGGCAAAATAAGAGGAGGAAAGCAACTGCCTTCAAATTTTCAGCTTGTCCACCAGCCAGAGGAGCCATTAGAGTCCCTGCAACTGTAGTCAAATTTGAGCACCACTGTTCGTAGCTGCCCCTCCTCTATATCTAGGAACTGCCAGCCATTGTGCAAATGAGTCGTTTTCATCGAGTGCCATTCACTACGTCATTGATCCAATCAAGAAGGTGCTCCAGGCCTGTGAACTTTGATGGCTTCCCAAAGAGGCCACACTCAACACCTTGATCCACAATTTGGCTGGTTGCAACACCAACTTGCACGTCGCCTGATGCATCCTCACCAAGCCTCAACACCGGGCCACCTTCGTCTCCTGTACAGTTGGAAAACCACACGAAACATAGCATGTCACTGTCCAACGTGCTGTCCAGCCAAACATAACGCGTCCACACAAGTACATGCCATACAAGCACGATGCCAACTACGGTCTCAGTCCCATCCTGCACAGCTTCACAATGAACTGCTGTAGGCTGCCAGCCCCTCTCGTAGAACCTGGATGTTCGCACGCTGGTGAATTTGGACGTCCTGATGTGTGGATGGCCAACATGTTGGACAGCGACCTGACAACCCATTCCTTTCGCACAAGCGGCCAGTTTCTGTCGGCATACACTCTGGATCAGCTATCTTGTATGCACCACACCAGTTCAACAACATGGTCCACACAAGGCAACATAGAGCCCAGATTTCAATATGAATCTCAAAGCAACAGTGCCCACACGTCCTCCCTTCCGCCAGGCACAGGTTTACCATCCCGCACCTTGACAGAATGCGTGGTCCCCAGCACCTGCGCAAAACACCTTTGCCGTGTCCTTGGCACCAAAGTCGGCACAGACGTCCGGACCTTCGAGCTCCACGTCAGTTGCCTCTAACAGTGTTGATGCAAATGCACCAGTGCCTCCGGATCGTCCCCAGCCTATCAGGCCAACCAACTCCCCTGCCTCCAGACCCTCATCTGGTGCAATCAGTTTGATGGGGGGCTGCTTTGATGGAGATTCCAGCCTTAGGAGTGCTACATTGTAGCCAGAGACAGGGTCCCCATCGTATTCCGGATGAATCTGAAGATCAGCTTCTACAGTCGGGATGTTCTACACACAACCCCAATTGCATGGATAAGACAAGCTGAGGCTGAAGCAGACAGCACAGCAAAGTTCGTTCAGCAACATGACGGGGCTCTTACCAGGGTAAAGGTCAAATGGACACAAAACAGTGGGGAACTGCCATGAACAGGTCCAATGGTGTGCCTAGGCAGAGGCAATGCGGGAGTCTTGCAATAGAGCCGATTGGGGTTGCTGCAGGTGCCCCATATGCCCCAGACATATGCTTTAGAGTCCTCAGAATCTATCACCAAGGGCAACAAAGGCTGATACTGTTTGAAAGATCTCAGGAAAAGTTTGCAAACTGTGAGATGGGAGCTCTTCACAGTGAGTGTATCACATTTCAGTTGAGCACCACTGATATCACAACGCAACTTGCCAGGAGTGTGAAGGGCGATTAACTTGAGCACTCTACAGCTGCCACCATATTGCCATTTTGTTGACACTGTTCTCTTTCCAATTATTTGGTTCTGGATTTCAAGGTGCGCTAATAATTAAAGAGAATACCACCCCAGCAACAAGTCGAAAAGCATTAGTTGCAAGGTGTGATCAAACTACCACAAGGGAGCAATACCACACAGCAACACCTGGAATTGCTAACCACATCCTCAAAGCATTCCAACAAGGCATGAGTTGCTCACGTCGTCGAATCGTCACCTAAACACACTTTCATAGGCCAGGAAAGAGAGGCATACGCAATTATGCACAGGGCACTCCCTGCTGCAGGACATCGAAAAGGGCTGAACAGGTATAAAGAATCTGAAGTTCGCAATCCAACGGTTGCCCTGACTGTGAGCAATAGGCAAAGAAACGATGTGCACAGGCACGGACCAGAAGGCCGCCCCTCCCACATCTTGTTTCCCAGTCTATGTTTCAGATGCCAGTCAGCCAAGGCTCACTCTTTACTTGGGAAGCCCCGCGGGCGGCGTTCAGAAAACGGCACTGATGGAAGGGCGGATGGGGTGGGGTGGAGGGCCAATCGGGCCGCCGCACGTTGGGCAACCGATTTCGGTACCCTCCTCGGCCCCTGCTGAGATCTACCCTGAAGTCGACCACGAGCCCAAGTTCGGACACTTTGCAATGCTCTCGCACCCTTGCCGCGATGGCAGTGCACCTGCACCGCTCGCCGCGGCGCGTGACGTGGCCACCGTCGCCCGCGCAAGGGCCCCCGACGCCGCCCTTCAGTGACAGCCAGGCCGGTTGCCCACCTCTTGGAACGTCTCCGGCATGCCCTGCCGCAGGCCGTTGAGGGACGCGTCCGGGCTGGCGAAGTCCCTGTTGGAGAACCGCTTGTCCACGCAGCTGGCGGCGGTCAGGATCCAGGACTCGTGCACGAGCGTGCCGCCGCAAATGTGCGCCCCGCCGTAGTTCTTGTTACTTAAAGAGGCCATGTAGGGGTAGCGGCAGGCCTCCGCGGGGACGCCCCCTGCCACGAGCGGCATCGGGCCCGTGCCCTCGGAGCTTCCATCGGAATCTGAACCGCACCACAAAACCCAGAGTCCATCAGGGGGTGGCGCATGAACGGCCGCCGCGGGCGGTTTGCTGCTGCTTGGTGCAATTCCAGGCGCACCTGCGGTGGGGCAGGAGAGCTGGGCGCGTGCCGTCCATGCTGCGAGCGTCATGGCCGTCCACAGCAGGGCGAGGGATGCCTCGGAGCGTCGGTGCCCCATCCTCCCGCTCCCCCCGCTTGGGCGTCGTCGTCGGCACGGCGGCCCGGGAGGCGTCCAGCGCGGAGCACGGCGGAGCGGAAGATGCCACCCCGCGGCCACCCCGCGGGGGAGGTCAGGTACAGTCGTCGCCGGTTTGACGAACTTGCTGGAGGCAAGTACGAGGGCGGCGCAACTGCCGGGCCCTTTTCGCGTGACCTGTGCGCACAATCTGACGAATGTCAACCTTTTTGTTATGGGCATCAGCGATGCGGAGTGAGCGGCCGCAGTGTGCTGGGGAGGAGACCAGGAGTGGGCTCTTTTGTCCCGGCGGGCGCGGGACCCCGGAGCGGGCGTGGCTGGGCGGCTCGGGGCGGCGGAGGGCCGTCCGGGGGGCCGATGCTGTCGCGGCTCTCGTTCAGCGTGGACACTAGCCAGCCATGCTCCATGAGGCTCACCTTGGAGACCGTGCCCTTCGCGGGGGCGCCCGGCTTCCAGTTCAGCGCCGTGGGGACGGGTGAGATGAGCTTCGAGGGCGCCGCGCCGGGAGGCCAGGATCGCTTTGCGCCGGTGGCGGCAGCACGGGATGCCTGCGTGGCGGAAGTCTGGGGCCCGCTGCCGGGACACCCGGAGCCGCAATTGCGGAGCCCGGCCGGGTGCCTGCCGCTGGGGCCCCGTTCCAGCGTCACGTGAGTGGCGGCTCGTCGCGCTTTGCGGCGCTTCTTTCGGATGCCTTAAGCGATCGTGCGCGCGGATACGGAACTGTTTTGTGCGAATTCTGTCCAAGGCGATGCTCAGCGGCGCCCAGCGGGTGCAACGGCCTCGTCCCCCCGCCAGGATGTGGTGCTTGACATGACAGGCAGCGCGTCAGACTGTCGGCAGCTGCGGGTTGCGATCTTGCAACGAACGTGGCGCGCAGGGCGAGGCAGGCCGCAGTCGCAACGCCAGAGGGGTCGTTCACGCGTTCCGTGCATTCCTCCCGCTGGGCGCTTGCAAAGAATCCGCAGAGCCTCTGAAACGTCCCCTCCGATGTTCGCCGCGAGCAGTGGCGACGGCTTCGAGTGCGCTGCCAGGCGCCGCGCGTATCGGCCGCGCAAGCCGCCGCGCCCCTGAAGGGCGCAGGACTTCATGCTTGCGCAGCGATTTGCGCGTCGCTCCGCCGGTCGCCCTGTCCACCCCTTTGACCCCGGGTCGTCCCTCTTGTCCCCAAGCAGGCCTGGCCTCGCGCACGGTGACGGCCAGTTTTGCCAATCGGCCGCGGCGGCGAACGACCTAAAGGCGCAGGGCAGGAACGGTCTGGAGTTGATACAGCTGCTGGTGCGCGCCGGGGATGCGCCGCAGGTGCCCGCCCCTCGGGTCAGTCAGCCGCCCCAGCCGATGACGAGGACGACGGAGCCGCCGCGCGAATTGCAGGTGAGCACCGGAGTGACTGTCGCGGTTCGGGGGGCTGTTGCGGCTCTTTTATTCTACCAGTGTTTTGGAGCGGGTTGAATGGGTTGGCTATCGTTGCTGCTGTTAAAAACCGGGCATAGGATACTGAAGGAGTCATGGAACGGGCCAGCGGCTCCCATTAGGGGGCTAAGCTGTCTTCGCTATTGTGCGAATCGGATGCTCTCGATCGCTGGAAGGAGCACGGGCGATATTGAAATGATCGATGGCGATAAAGCATGTTTTCAGGAGCATGCAGGAAACGCCTGCTTGCCCTGAGTGGCTGCTATCAGTATCTGGACGGTCGGGCACATCCAGCTGCACAGCTTCCGGATCATGTCTGTGGCAGCAGCCGTTGAGCAAGTCCTGTTCATCCTGCAATATGGGGTGCTTTATCTCAATGTGCTCACTCGCACAGCTTGTGTTGTGCCCTCAGTAGTGTAGGGCGGTTTATGGGCAGATCTGTGCCAATGAAGGGCACAAGTGTGCGCAGTGCATTGTCTAGATGAGGGGTCACAGACTGACTGGCTGGCTGACTGACACATGCACTTTGTGCAATAGCCTGTGCAGAAGTGATGGATCATCAGACGTGGCAGTCTCAGAAGGGGAAGGAGGGAAACTGAATGTCAGGTGTTTCAGGTTGATCAAGATGTTAACCAGGCATAGTATCTCAATTCACAATTGTAACACTTGCACAGACCTTTCTCTCCACCACAGTATGGAACTGATCGGAACTGAAGCTGGCCAAATTTGTGCATTGGTGGGTAGAAGCCTACACAACAAATTCTTTCTTGCACATAAGGACCAAACTTTTCAATGGCAAAGGACGCAAGACAGGGGGACAATCCATATAGTTTCATTTGGCCCAAACACAACGCTGTGGTGCCTTTGCAGATTCCAGTGTATAATGGGCATAATGCAGTATGGTTGTTAATTGTGTAGTTTCATGCGCCTGAGCCACAACCTCCAGAGACCTGAAAAGGACAGATTTTTCAAGCAGATGCTACATATGGTCTTATCGAAGTCCCTTGTTGTGTGGCGGTTTGTGGAGCAATAGAAACTAGGCTCAACCTCGTATTTGGCAGCTTCTGCACTGTTCCTAAAGCGGGCGAATTTCCTTGTTCTTGTGTGGAACGTGCACCGCCCACTGAATGTCTTGTACCTCACAACGTTTTCTCTGGTGCGCGCCAGCCAGCACCAGCTGTATCTCGTTGAATTGGAAAATGTATTGGAAAGTCAAGTCCGTCAGTGCTGATGGAGAAATCGACGGGAGCGCTTGAAATCCGATTTGTTATTATCCTCAGGTTGGTGCACCTGCCCAACTGGATATCACAAAGAAAGTCAAGAGGATCCGCACATCTGCTGAGTCTGCATCACACGCCGAATCATATCCAACGTCACCCACTCTGAGCCTGCCAGAATCGCTGGACGGTTGGCTGCCCAGCGCGGGGGAGCACAATTCCCGTCCTCGTGTGTCGGAGTCGCCGCGTTTGTTTCGACGAGACAACGATGGGCGTTTGTGGTTGGTGGACAGCGATGGAAGCCATAAAGGTGAGATCTCAGGCTGGCTTGGAAAATCTTGTTGCGACTCTGCTGTGAGATTCTTGTTGGAAAATCGGCTAGTGCTTCAAGTAGTGCCATTTAGGGCACCTGCTGCCTTGATGACGATCTGCATCGCTGCCTTTGTGTAGCTGTTTTATCATTCTCCATCACTAATGTAAAGTTTCCGTTTTTGCAGCAAAGCAATTTGCAAGCCAGAGGGGCATGCCAGCATCTGGGTCACCCAACGTTGGAACTGTCTCCGAGGCCGCCAGTGTGGTCCGTGGAGAGTGGGCTTCGCTTACAACTACCAGCCTCCTGCAACAAGCCATGGTGGCACCCTCTATGGCGATCATGGGTCAGAACGAGACAGGGGACGCCGAGTCAGTTCCCAACCCAAGTCATGAGGCGCCGGGACTTAAATGCTTGCCGGCAAATGGAGCTGCGGAAGGCGCAAAGGGAGATGAGGCACCAGCAAAGGAGGCACAATGCCCAAGGGAAAAGAAGATTGCAAAGAGAAAGAGAGCAGTCGTCGTTGGGGGTGACTAGGGTTGGGGCATGAGCCCCAGGCGCTCGAACCAAAGAAGAACTCTAACTTGAACTAGGAATGTTGTTGTGAGCCCACACGGGCATGTGTCGGCTTGTACGCTTATGCTGGTGGGGTGCATTGGGGTGAGTAGAAGGATTTTTTTATTTTTCTTGCAGGGGGGACGCCGCCTGCCAAGCTGTGTATTTTACTGCAGGTGTTGTTCAATCTATGGACTGTTGGGAAAAGCCACTGCTGTGCTCAAGAGCGAACATCCCACCACTGGGACTGGTGAGTGGTGGCCGCAGCAAGAGCAGAGCTCTGTCCTCACATGCTCCCTTAACTTTGAGGCCGTGGTAACAGTGCCAGTGTCCGCGATAGCACACTGGAGCGCCCTGTCTACATGGAAAACGCGACTGGCGACATGCGAGGCCGCTCAACCGAGGCCGTCGACAGATTCGTCAGGCTGTGCCCAAATACCCCGTCGGTGCCATATTTCGCCACTGTGAGAGCCTGTTCTGTCAACACTTGCTGTCAGCCGGCCCTTTGGCCGACTGCAGCACACAACAGGAAGCATGCAAGTGATGTGGCAGCTGGCGGTCCGAGCATCACGTGCGTGAATGGACAAACAAGCGCAGTGTGCTTCCAGGATGGCTTCAACAGCAGTTGAACAGAACATCTGCGCAGTGCCTATCAATGCTGCAGCAATATGTATCAGCGCTGACAGGCACCGTCATCAGCAGCCGTTGAGACCTGGTTGGGCGGCGTCTGTACGGACCAGATGTGCAAGAGGCAGTCGTAGAAGGAGCAGGTTGCAACCAGCCCCAGGCTGCCCGAATTGTGGGCTTTCTGCCAAGACCAGTCGGCGCCATAGGCAAGGCTCTTGTGCGCAGTGTAGTGTTCCACGGTGCGCAATTCGTTGGAACCCGCACTCACCACCCGAAACCCGTTGTGCATGCAGGCGGCGAGAATGAGGTCCCGCTTGCGTGGGTGCCACTTCACGCGCCACACGCCACCTTGCAGGGAAGCCTGGCCACACGAAAAGGCAATTCAGCTAAAAAGCAGGGTGCGGTGGTTGCAAACCGCGCCATGTCTTTCATCTGTCAAGATAACACAGCCTGCTGACTGTTCATGCTGAGGCGGAAAGCATGTAGCACTGCAACCTGCAGCGAAAATGGGAGGTGCCCGCTCTACATTTCCCCATGTAGGGATGACAAAACTATCCACAACCAGTGCCGTGACAGCCACATATGCAAGTAGCACGAGTTCTTATCACTCCCAGAAGGCTCGTGCGTCTGCTGGTTCGCAGAGTTGCTCCAAAACATGAAGCATGGGTTGAAGCTGCAGAACCACGCAGCCGCCATTTGCTGGGCATGCTGCCCACCACGACGGAACGCTGCTGACAAAGTGTTTTGGATTCAATCCCCTGTTCATGCAGATGTGGATCCCAGCTGCCAACTACCAAGCCCACCTTCTTGGCTGTCACGGGCTTTGCAACGTTCCTCAAGTCCCATATCCTGAGATGCTCATCGTAGCTCCCTGTTGCCAAGACGTGCTCACTGAAATAGCTGCACTGAATGGAGCACACGCCTGCAGAGTGCTCCTTTCTGTTCATGAATATGGGCGTCCTGCTGTCGATCCTCTCATCCCAACCTTTCATGCAGCAGTCATCGGCACCTGAATACAAAACACCCATCTGCACACACTGTAGGACAGCATCGACTCTGCATCCACCAGTCTGATCCAGTTGCGGACATCAGACCAGCCGCGTTGAGGGCATTCGTCCACTGCCGAAGCAGCGCTGGGGACCACAAAATGCCACATCAAATGGCTGGAGAGAATCCGTGTCTTCGCTCAGGAGGGCAGTCAATTGCCTTGGTGGAAATACTTCTATTGTGCACATCTTCTGGCCTCAGGTGCTGCAAAACTCAGCATCTTTCAACGTATCATGTGTTCCAAACCCAAGAATGTAGCTCAATAGGGCTGCAGGCTCAACAGCATCCAGGAAAATGGCAGGCCACTGGTCAAAAACAGCAGCCAAGGCAAGTGCTGCAAAGGAGACTGCTGGGCCATTTGCTTTGCTACATCTCACAGCAGAATGCCCCAGATTTGTCAGACACAAAAAAGGCCTTCCACACCTTCCATCGGTCATGAGTTACCACCCAAGTCTCAAGTTCGTGGGCTTTCCATTTTGACAGCACCTCCAGCCCAGTACTCAGCAGCTGTTCAGCAAGAGCACATGAACAGCATGTCAGCAAATGGAGTTGGCCTAGTCCTCCGTTCTGACCCAACATTCAAACACAATCTTAGTTCAACACTGCTGGTTATGTGGTGCCAATTGTTGGGTCATCTATTCAGCACCAAGATCTCCACGAAGTGCTCAGTCTGCACATAAACGACAACAAAGGTTGATCACACGGACGAGTGAGGTCGGGACTCAATCAACTGACTAAGCCTTGAATTCTCCCAAAACGTTCTTGGCCTTTGCAAGAAAACCCAGTGAATCACGTGCCCTGTCACAGGTTGTGTGCAGCGTACTGCAGTTTTCGATCCTTATCGGGCAGTAGTGCCAGCATCCCTGCTTCCCTTCCATTTGTTCCTGGGGCTCAGATGTACAAGAAGGCTGGCCAGATTCAAGACTTGGGTTTCAGCGATGACGACACTTTTAACGCTGCACTAGTGAGGGATGGGGAAAATGTCGATGAGCTGTGGTGCATAACATGCAAGTCTAATCAGCAGCACCAACTCACCCGCGCTGTTGCAAGCTCCCCAGCGGAGGAGCTCACAGCAATCGTTGGCACATCCACAGCAGCCCTCGGCGACCAGTCTAAGGACAGGGCCATGCCAGACTCCAGCAGACCGGTGCTCGAGCACACTTTCTCAACACCTGATGCCTGAGCAATTCCACGAATGCTCACGTTAGGACTCCTGGCATCAGCAGATAGCTGGAGTGGATTTTGGGCATGCCTGGTCCGTGGCGCGGCAGTCAAGACTCTAATGTTTCAATGGAGACCAATTTTCTGGACGCATCGCGGGCTGTTTCTCGGAACGCCTTCAGCCCGCTGGGCAAACCCTAAACGGCTTGACAACCGGATCCGTGCCTTCCATTGCAATGTTCCTGGGCTGCATGCCCCCATCGACAGCCTCAGAACACGCTGCACTGAAGCCTGCCTCCATGCCCCAAACAGCCCTGCCGCTCCAAAGCGGCCAAATCCGCCGAATCGCACCGCTTCCACCACCTCACGCCGACGCTCACCTCCGATGCCGCGCAAACCGCCGCGCACCCGTCCGCGAGAGCGACCCCCAGCAGTGGGTCCTCCGTCCCCACCCACCGCGGCACCCATTTGATGTCGAAGACGCCGCCGAGGTCCAGCTCCCCGCGCGGCTGCAGAGATCGCGCCCCGCTCCCCCCCTCGACCGCCTCGTACAAGTTGATGCCGCCGTCTCGACGCGGCCGCTCGCCCTCCACCAGTTGGTAGGTGCCCACCGCGAGCAGCGACTGCCGGCCCTCCAGGGGGCAGAACTCGGCGCAGTCAGTGTTGAGTGGCAGCGTGAGCGCGTCATGAAGCACGCACCCCGAGGCCATCCTTACTCACAAAACCTAGGCGGCTGGGACCAGGGACAGGGGCCTGGGACTGGACTGGACAGGGACTGAAGACTGGACTGTGCTTGGACGGGGGACTGGACTGGACAGGGACTGGGGACGCCTAATAAGAGGGGACGAGTGGGGAGCAGGGAAGTGTAATCATGCCCCCAAATTGCATCATCTTCCGGCTTCCGCTCCATCTTCGGGACTTGCGTTCCGCCGCAATACAAATACCCATCAACCGGGCCCGTCCCCACCACTTTCCCACTCGGAACCAGGACTCCGCTCGGCTTCGCGGGCGCCCTGTGGCCAACGGGCGGCTTTCGCGCGGAGGGGCCGCGGCGGCGGCCTCCGCTCGTCACTTTCTGAGCGCTCGGACGCGAGGGAGCAGGAGGGAGATTGGACAGCCGCGGTTTGACGTCGTCTTCCTGGAAGGCGGGCCCCTGCGGTGTGGGCTGCACCAAGCGTCGCCCGCGGTGCGTGACTGCAATCGTCGTCCCAGCCCGTGGGGTAGTCGTCATTGCGTAGGGACTGCCGGGTGGGGACTGCCCAGTTGGCCCGCAAAGACCACCCGCACCGCTGTTGGTGGATTGGATTGGATGGGATGGGGAGAGCTGGAAGGAGAATAGAAGGACGGTGACGTTCCGGTGACGCGGGGAGTTTGAGGGGCGGGAACTCTGCAGTTTTTTGGCAATGTGCAATTGCTTCGCGATGTGAGCTGCAGCGGCTCGATCAGGGACTCGTTCGACGACGGTGATGAGCTAAACTCCTCTGGCGTTCCATCAAAGTTGTTGCAGCCCGGGGAGCACAGGAACGCCGCTGCGCTGCTCCTCAGGAATATCTTCTGCAAAAGACGCGGACGGACCTGAGGGGACACGTGAATCGCTCAGATGCTTGCGCACATGCCGAGAGGTCATCAGCTTCTCTCGAACCTGCAGCCCTGGCAGCAGCGGATGACAGGATTTTGTTTGACCAAGTCAGTCATCTTTTGGCTTTTGGTACAGAGTCTGCATTGCTAATATCGAACACGCTGCAGCTCCGCATGGACAGCTGGCAACAGCAGAATGCATTTGCGCTGTTGCTGCAGGCCTTAGGCTTTGAAATCATCAACAGCACACAACGGAGGGATTCGTATTCAGGAGCGGTGATCACCAAGTTGGAAATTCTGGCTGAGCATTATGCATTGAGTTTTACAAGAAGATTGCCATGCTGCAGGTGTTGAAGACAATGGATTGGCAGTTTGGCTCATTTCCAGTGCACAGTCTTGTGCTGGGCTGGTTTTTGTTTGCTTCTATGTGTGTGGCTGTTGCCACGACTGGAGTAGACAGAGAGTTGAAACAAGATGGTGGCATGCATGACGGTGAAGGTAAGGATCAGTTGGAATACAGTTGCTCGATTGGAGGACGTTTTATTCATGCTGCTGCTAGAGCAGTCCTTGGAGGAGGCCTTGGACATGCTGCCCACAAGACGATATGGGCATTTGTCATATCAGAGAATTTCCAAGTCTGCACATTTTGTGTTCACCACTCATGACAGCAGACTACACCAAGCTAGCTGCCCAAAGCGAGACAGGAAGCTGTACCTCGCATGTATTGTTGGATTTGATATTCTTGGCAATTGTGCCATCCTGCACTGGGTAAAAGGTATCTCCAGACATTAATCAGCACAGCATATAGTGTATTGATTGAGCGCCCCAGAGCAAGCAGCTGTCCTTTGTAATGCAGAGTGTAAGGAATTTGAATTGGGGGTGTTGTGATGTACAGGATGCTCCAGCGGAGAAGGTGGCAAGTGCTCCGGAAGCAGCCTTGGAATGCTCATCAAGGTATTGCACATATTAGATCGCGCAAACAAGATTGTGCAAAAAAAATCGCAACCATATTGCGAATGTCCTCGACAGTTTGTGCAGCTGCAGTCGCCACAGTAAATGCAGAGTCCTGCCCCCGAACCACGCCCATTATGTTTCACATTTCTGTAGCAATTTGCTGTAATTAGAGAGCAAGTGGCTCAAAATTGTACCACTGAATTCCCTGTAGCAGTAGTTGTGGCAGTTTGGGTGCATGACCTGTCTATGAACTGAATGTAGAACACAATGTGCATGTGCACCAACTCTTTGGCCAGTGTTGGTAGTTGCTGTGAGCTTGTCAACAAGAATTATGTTTTCATTGGCTTAGCTACAAGCACACAAAGTTTTTGAAACCCATGACAATAATGTCCAGGTTAGTACTTCCAGGGATGGCAACAATTTTCCATCTGCCAATTGGATGCACAGGATGCAATGGATGTTTGCGTTGGAATCTCCGTAGGGACGCTGTTGCTTGATGCACTCTGCAGATGCATTCTAAAAGCAAGAGTCTGACACTCGATATATATCCTTATGCCCCAGTACAGCCCAGTCTTTAAAAATTGTGAACGCCATTGATACACTGACTCCAAAACCTTCCAATGGGCATTGTTGGTTCAGTTCCGTATTGAAGCAACCGCACAACTTGCAATCTGTGCTGTAATTAGCAACTGTTCTGCAAATATGCAGAAGTCGACATTGTCCTAGATAAATGCCAATGTTCATTTTACTTGTCTCCCAACTGTTGTTTTTCCCTACCATTCTACATTTCTTCAGAGACTCTGTCCTTGGTGGTTGTTTCCATTTGCACATTGCAGAGCAATCATCTGTTCATACACCTGTTCTTCTGACTTTCTTTCACAGACAGCTTTCAAATCCAAAGTCTGGGTGTGGCTTTCAGGCTGGACAGGATGCACCTGAAGGCCGCTTTCCGTATATGGTCAGCATCAAGACCACAGTGGCTAATGTGCATAGATGTGGGGGAATCCTCATCGATTCTTCCCATGTTCTAACTGCCGCTCACTGCATCACAAGGCATGGGCCACAGCCCTATATGCACATAGGGGCCCACAATATCAATGATGACGACAGAACACCTGGTGTCCAGGTCAGTATAGTCAACGCCTTGACAATGTTCTGCACTTGACCGTTCATGGGTGGGCTTGGTCCAGGTGGGGAGGTGGGTAGTGATTTGTGAGATGCTGTGGCGATGCTGTGGCCGTGGAATGTGGGGTTCGTTGTCTGGAACCCAGCAATGGCGAACCAAAGTGGATGGCATGCTGTACAGACTCGCATGGGTTATGTTGTTATGTTGCTATTCTCACCAGAGCTTCCATTCCCACTGCAGATGTTCGAACTGCTTGTTGCTGTTGTGCATCAGTGGCGGGTGGGATGGGGCACTCATGGTTTAGAACATGGTGGGTTTCTGGCAGAGGCCAAGTGGGAGATACAATGCAAGCTGCATAGTCAGCAACTGGGTGAACGTCCTCTTGGCGAGCTGCCTGTGCATTCGCCTGTCACTAAAGTGATGGTCGCCCATGCTATGCCGCTATTCGATGGATCGCTCGAAGTGTTGAATGATACGTTATGAACACAACTTCGATTATGAAGGTGTACTTTTGGCACTGTGAAGATTCTGACCTATTCTGATATTGTATTTTCCACACTTGATCCTGGGCGTTGCTCCAAACCCTTGGACACAGACCATCGAAATGTGGATATCACCATCATGGACAAGCCTTTGAGCAGCCTGAAATGCATTCACGTACCTCGTTGTGTGCCATTCCGGACCCGATCAACTGTGGCACTCCATGGTTGGCGGTCGGAGCCCAGCAATGTGTGGTGGGAATTGCCATGGGGAAATCAATTGTTGTTGTCGATGGCAGTTAATCAGAATAAGATGGTTCAAAGCGATGAATGTTAAGAATGTGCAAAATGCCTGTTTCTGCTTGACGCATGGACATGCGCTGCGCTCAAAGGCTTCTTCAGTGCAGGTCGTGAGGGCGAAGTGCATGATTGCACACCCAGGATGGAATGGCAACGTAAAGAATGGCTTCGACATTGCGGTGGCAAAGCTTTCAGAAGACGTTAAGAACAGAAGTACCCCGGTGCTTGCACAAGGGTGCCCTGACATTCGCAAAGGCACACCTGTGATGGCCTTGGGGTGGGGTCTGGGTGGAAGTTCAGTACGAACCGAAACTCTCCGCATGGCTCCGGATTTGACAATACTTGACCATGACAGCTGCCCCCAGAACTTCGGGAAGGAGTTGAAGCCCCACATGATCTGTGCATACAATGCACGTCAGAGAGTCTGTGAGGGTACGTGGGGCTCAGAATGTGTGCACATTGGACTAGTGTCCATGCGTTGTTGTGGCAGTTGATCTGTGCATACAATGCACGTCAGAGAGTCTGTGAGGGTGCGTGGGGCTCAGACTGTGTGCACATTGGACTAGTGTCCATGCGTTGTTGTGGCAGTTGATCTGTGCATACAATGCACGTCAGAGAGTCTGTGAGGGTGCGCGGGGCTCAGACTGTGTGCACATTGGACTAGTGTCCATGCGTTGTTGTGGCAGTTGATCTTTCATGCGGCCTTGTGATGCACTCACTTTGCATGTATCGCCAAATTTGCAAGCCAGAATACAGCGCTTTCTAGAATTTGCCGCAAGCACATTGCTGCATCATCAGAGCGGCCTCTCCGTGGCAGAAGGGAATCACTCGAATGTTACTTCGTTCACATTTGTACATTGTGCAATGTATTTGGTGATATTGTTGAGCCGCAATAACTGATCCGTGGCTATCTCCAGGGGATTCGGGTGGTCCTCTTCTCATCCCTGATGATCGCGATGGTAGTCTCAACGGCGCAAAGCCCAGCTGCGATTTAATTGTGGGGATCGTCTCATTCGGCAAACTGAACTGCGATATTGACGACGCCCCAGCAGCCTACACCAACATCAGCGAATTTCTCCCCTGGATCGAGAAGGTGGTCTCCAGGGACGCTTGTATCCTGGTGCGTTTTGTCACAGTCATTGGTGCAGCTGCATTGGACACAGACGACGCAGATGATATGCTGAGCAGCAATTGGCTTATGTTGCTGGGAGGAATGGCTTTTGTTGTCACTACGATTTGCATGTCTTTGATTTACCTCTATTCGGCTTCCTATTCTATCTCAATTTTGTGTAGGTTTCAAACGAGTGGCGATCGACCAATGAACAAGTGAAGAGCATACAGATGTACTGGGTGCATACTTGTGTATGGTCGTATGCAGGGCGCGTAAACCGCTGGTCTTGTGGAGGCGAGCTCAATTTTAAGGAGTTTGGCGAAATTATCTTGCAGCGCTTGGTGCCATCTAAACCAAAGCTTTTGATTTCACCGGGTTTTTGTGCCAGTTATTGTGTCCAGGTTCTCATGCCCGTCAGCCATTCTAAAGCTCAACTTTGGCAGGATTTAATGGCCAATAACACAGGAGAATATTGATGCTAAAGAGGTGGCATAAATTTTATGTTTAATACTGTTTATTACTCATTGTACACTTGGTGTGATTGGGAGTTAGATTATTGCAAAGGTATTGAATTGAGTAAAGCATTCTATGAAAAGAAATGCAACGATGAAGTGTACTTATTCTATTTGCTTGTCATCGTTGCTAGTATTTTGGACGACTTGTGATTTCTACGTAATTTTATGCCAATTCACACCTAAGTCTCCTCCAATGCTGTGCCTGGCAACACGTGCATTTGCAACTGAATAAATATGCTGCAGTGAGGCTTTGCGGACGGAATTAATTACATGGCATTCCGACGGTTCACAATCCATGTCTCTGTGTTCTAATGCAGGAGCAAGTAGTGGAGCAGGATGGAATTCAAGGGTACTCAGAGGTGGGCATTGGAATCGGCATCAGTTCGTTTTATGGGGTGGAGGGAACCTGAGCCTGGCCCACTCCAGTTTATCCAGGTCATCTTTTGAAAAGTTTCAGGAAAACTGTACGAAATGGAAGTGGACACCATTGGTTTGATGGGTGACTTGGCATTGATGCAGTTAGTTGTGTTCCTGACTGATATCTCTTGATGATTCCAATTATGCCAAAATCCAACAAACTGCATCATTCAATTCAGCGCATGCGAAATAGCATTTTTCTCCTGAAGCCGGGTCGTGATATGCTGCTTTGCAAGCTGAATTGACTTCTGCATTGTGAACGATGTTGTTGCTAGCCCTCAACAAGAATAGCAGCTCCGTTATTTTCAATGCAGCACAAACTTTTGTGATGTAATTTCTGTATTTGGTTCAGGCAGATGCAATAACTGGGAGAACTCCAAACTACATTGTGTCTGTGGTGTTGACTGTCCTCACAATGATTGCAATCCCATTCACAATGTGGAGATGCGACCTCCATCGACAACCTGCATCCACAATTCTGCGCCTACAGGTGAGGAACATCTCAACTGTTCGAATCTATGCCACAGATTTTGCAAATCGGCAGAGTCTGATGCAATTCAAATCTATCCCAATTGCTGGTTTGGCTCCTTGCGTTAGTGTTTGAAACCAGTATGCAGCTTCGATGTCTAGTGATTGGCGAGCCGCAGAATTGTTTACAATACCATGGAAACAGCCTGTCATTTGGTTTGTGCATCCACTGGGCACCATTTCAATGGACCTCCATGCAACCTGAACGATGGTGCAGCCAGCCTTGGGTGAAATCCGAAAGTCCTGCCACAGGGGACACCATGAAAGAACTCTTTGTGTTCTCACGAAGATGCACTCATGGTGTGTTTGTGTCAAGGAGAGTGTTGTACCAGGAAATGTGGCAAGAACTTGCACACCAGATTGTATCAGAATAAAGTAGGGCTCCAACGCGCGATCAGTTGCTATGCACATGCACTGCACTGGCAACGTTTTCAAAGGGTCCTTTGGTGATATCAGTGTTGTATTTGCTATATAAGGATTGAGCATGAGTTGCTGGCATTGCATTAATATCTCCGCCATTGCTGCAGAATTGTGGGAAGTTCGCAGTACTTGGTGGAGGCCAATGTTTGCAAAGCATGCTGCTCGGAATTCGATACCAGCGTGTGGAAGTGTTTGAACTGACTTATTGGCTGGAGTGAAGCTCTGGCCTGGTCAATGTACATTGGGCCTTTTGGCCTGGGATGAGATAAGATAAGAGAAAAGAAAAAAAAAGAGAAAAGAAAACAAGAAGAAAAGAACAAAAGAAATAGGTAAGATAAGGTCCATTGCATTGACTGTATGCAGCTTGTTTTGCAGGCTTTGCTCAGCAGGGGAATGAGCAACCTGCAGAGGCTGCTGAGTGACCTGAGTTCCTTAATTCCAGATGTGCCAAAGAGCCATGAGAATTCAAAGTTTGTGGTGGGTCAGGATCAGCCCCTCCAGGATATTAAGCGCCTTCTGCTGTGCGAGTCTGGAAACACAAACGACAACTCAGGCATTGTGGGGCTTTGCGGGATGGGTGGCTCAGGGAAAACGACACTGGCGACTGTCATTTGGCATGACAAGCAGGTCGCATCCCATTTTAAGGGAATTTCGTTTGTGAAGGTGTCACATATGGAGTATTTGCACGGATACCAACTTCAAATATGCAGGGATCTGGAAGGTGACGCAATGGCGGAACTTTTGGAACACAGATCTGTGGAGGCCTGCACAAAAGAGCTCAAACATCTTTTCAAAGATCGCAAGGTGCTGCTGATTCTGGATGACTTGTGGTGCAGCGACCTTGAGGAAGTTGAGGGCCTTCAGGTGGTTAACCCATTGAATGGAAGCAGGATTCTCTTCACAACAAGGTTCAGCAACCTGTTTCAGAGACGATACCGTATCTGTAAATATGACATGCCAGACCTGACTCCAGAGGATTCCCTGCAGCTCTTTTGCATGAAATGCTTTGGCGAACCGAAGGTCCCTGATCATTTTCACCAGCTGTCAGACCTTGTGGAAAGGGTTGCAAGGCAGTGTGGGGGCCTGCCTCTCTATATTGAGGTGATTGGCAGTTCAGTGGCATGTCAAGCCGTAGATGCTAAAGAAGTGCAGGTCTGGGATAAACTGCTGTGTGACATTGACAAGAGCCTGAAGAACCCCTTGCCGAGCAGGAAAGAAGACAAGATGCACCATCGCCTGAAGATCAGCTACGACTATCTCCGGGACAAAGAGCGCAAATGCTTTTTGCATTTTGCCACAGTTGCCCCAAACTATCGACTCCTGATATCCGATGTTGTTGAGGCGTGGTCTGCCATGATGGGTATCGATGGTGGTGAAGCATGGAGAATCTTCCGGAAGCTGGTGCAGACATCTCTGGTCAAGTTGGACAGCAGCGGAGCCCCTGGGCGTCAGCTTAAGGATGCTGAAATGGCCTTGCACTCGACAGGCTTTCGGGACCATTTGGAGGGAACATGCTACGTTCATGAAGTCATCCGCACCATGGCCTTGGCAATCCTGAGCAGGCGTTATCCGGAATTGTTGCACCGTGTGGGTGGTTCCACGCTTGTCAGTAACTTGTCTGCTGGGGGGTCAGACAGCAGTGCAGGAGAAAATCCTTCACTCAACGACGTGGACAGCCTCTCAGTTGATCAAGCCCTTGCAATGACAGGCAGGGAAGCTGCCTTTTTGAGGGATAAAAGAATGACTTCGGTGCCAGATTCCGTCTGCTTGACAACAAGTCTGCGTGTTCTAGACCTGAGCTTCAATCCACTGGCAACATTGCAAGACGAGATTACGAATCTCTGCTTGCTCCAGATTCTTCGTCTTGATGCTTGCCTGGAATTGGAAGCCTTGCCTGACCGAATCGGCGCCCTTGGGGAGCTGTTGGTTTTGTCTTTACGATATTGCTGTCAGCTGCAAATGCTGCCAGCATCGATTGGAAAGTTGACCAAGCTTGAGGCTCTTTATGCGCCTGGTTGCCTGTTTGGTGCCCTTCCATTGACAATTGGCAATTTGACCAGGCTGCGTTTCCTTGATGTCAGTTCCTGCACCAGCATTGTGCAGTTGCCCCACGATGTCAGCAGGCTCACCAACCTCGAAAAGGTGAACTTTGATGGCATGTGGAGTCTTGACAGACTGCCAGATTTTGGGCCTTCGCCAAAACTGAGAGTCTTGTTGATGGCCTGCTGCGCACATATTGAGGAATTTCCCCGCAGCTTCTGCACCAACGTCAGCCACCTGGAGGTTTTGGACTTGCAACTGTGCAAGAGATTGAAGTCACTTCCAGTAGATATAGGCAAATTGTCCCAGCTGAAGAGTCTGTTCATAGAGCACTGCAAAAAAATGGAGCAGTTTCCACAGTCCATGGATGGAATGTCTTCCCTGAAGGTGTTGGGTCTGGACACTGAGCCTGCTTACCACAGTGAAACGACGCAGCAATTGGTGTGCCCAAGGGGCAGGAAGCTTTTCTTGAAGCGGGGGTGCCTCCCAGCGGGCATCATTAAGCGCATAAGAGACGGGAAAGTGCAATTAGAATCCAAGTTCCGTGAGCACTCACTGGAGTTGTTGAAGAAGGTGAGGTGCAGATACAACTACAGGATTGCCAGCAGTGCTGGACTGACACCTGCGTGTGACTGCTGTTGCTGCTGTGAATGCGAAATGTGAATATTTTTTGGCAGTGCATGATGAGTGTGACCGATGTCGAATAGGATGGGGCGTCCATTTCCATCAGTAATACCTGTGTCGCACATATGCACAGATTTTCCTTGCTTGCATGTGTATATGAGTGCGACTAGTATAGATATTGTCCTGACATCCCGTTGCCATCTTGGAGAAATTGTATCATTTGGAATGGCATGTACTGAAGGGCTTAAGAAGTTGCATTTCCCTTTTATGTACGAATTAGTTTTGCAAAGCCAGACGGAGCTCTTCTTTCATTCAAAGTTGAAATGACACAGCATACATATGTCCATGATTAACTCTGTTTCTGATCACTGCCAACATCATATAAACAGTGACTGAGAACAAAGTGTTCCTGATAAAATTTGATTTATGATGAGAATTGGGATCCCACTGAGCAAAGCGTCCATCGCTGCCTCCAGCTCAAAGGTTGGACCCCTCTGCATGAAGCGATAAAGCAGAGCCACGGATCTGTGATGGTGAAGCAGATCGAGCATTTCAAGCAGCACAAGGATGCAAGGGACAATGTGAGTTCGCTTTCTGTCGTGGCTTATTTTCTTTTACTATGGATCTTGCGTAAGGTACCCCTCCAATATATGTCATGCCCACAGAAATCGACCGATGACAGTGACTCACAAAGAATATTGTTCACATTGCACCAGCAGTTCCAAAGAGATTTTTTTTGGTTCAATTGTATCGCAACTTTGCCTAGGCAGCACAGCCATTCCGTTACTTCCCAACACCTGCGTTCGTTTAAATGGAATCAACGTGGGACATTCCAATTCTCTGGATGGATGCAGGAAGGCAAAACGCCACTGCACTGGGCTGCGGATTGGGAAAAACTAGAGGCTGTGGAGCAGCTCCTGAGTCGGGGTGCGGATGCCAGGATCAAGGATAAGGTGCGGATTCATGCCATTGACGACTGACAGCCTTGCAAACAATTGTTCCTGAGAATGCCACCAGTCTTTTTTAACAGCGGAAATACTAGAGTATTTGCACGTGTCTATGAGCAAAACTGGTTTTTACATTTTCAGGGTAAATGGGCGCTAAACTGCTAAAAATCGGCGTTGTGTACATGAAACAATACGTACAGACTAAAGGATTTGGGGAGTGGCAGCCAGATGCGCTGGAGTGGGCAGAAGACGACCTTTTGTTTGACGACGTGGCTGCCCTTGCCGAGGGCGAGGTGGACGCTGTGTTGCTGGTGCTGGAAAGGGGGGAGGACTGACCATTGTTTGGGACATGGTCATGATACCTGGGTGTGTCGGCGAGCCCCAAAAGTGCATGCGTAGGGCCATAGAAATGGCCGTTTTTCTATTTGTGCATATTTGCGTGTCAAGACGTTAACATACAAACGGTGGCGTAAATGTAAGTAACAAGCCTGAATGCTACCATGCCCTGAAATGTTCCCATCGGATTCTTGTCAATCAACTCACGAAGCCTAGTGCACAGAAACGCCTTTTCATATATCTCAGCCCGTACGATGCTCTGTGTGTGCGGCCCGTGCATGAATTGCAAGTGTATAATTCCGCATAGATAACCCATGTATCAAGGGGTATTAAATTCCGAAGGCTGACATTGAAAGCTGACAGCCGTGTTTTCGTGATATTCTAAACACCGCCACTTGCCCACTGTCACTGGTAGAGAATGGCACTAAAATCATGGGTAACATCTCAGGGTTTGGTCTCATTGTGAGGCGTTTCAAGCTTCAAGGACACGATTTGGCTTTCACAGGAACATTCATCGCAGTAAAAACCTGTGTGAATGGTGGATAGTTTGCCAGTGTACGCAGGTAATGTCGCTCGTCTGGCGATGCACTGTGGTTAAAGGGAAGACACCAGTGGAAAACGATATTCTTGCGATGCAAACTGCGGTGCCAGTTGACACTAATTGATGGCATCACACCCACTTTTGTGCCATCGCAACGACTGCGATGGCGCCACTTTGTGTCAAAATGGCACTGTGGTTGGCATCGCAGACATGGTGTTTTCTGATACTGAAAGGAGTGGCTCTTCAGTAGGGGCTTTGGTTTCTCATTTTCACCGAAATTGCATCTCTGCCGTGCAGCGGGGCAACACGCCGCTCCATGTTGCGGCGTTTCACGGGAATTGCGATTGTGCTAAGGCAATCATCGAGGCTCTCATGAAGGCGCATGCGAGCCCTGGAGTTCTTAACGAGGTAAATGTCGCCAATGAATGGGAAGATCGCCATACCACAGATCTGAAAACACTGCGTTGCAGCGGTGCAGAGCTCCAGGTGCCCATGGACTCACAGGTTTCCCAGGGTTGCCCATCGATGCCCAAGCACAAATATGACTGTGGGACTCCTATAGTTTGCCAGCACGTGTGGCATTGCTGGCCGTTGTTTTGGATTGAATCAGCCAAAGGAGTGCCCCGATGTCGATGCGCTGTCTGTGCGATGCAGGTCCTTGCACTCTAGCCCCATTGGAGATGGTGCAATTATCTGAAAGTGACCCGTGTCAGTGATCCCACTCGGAAAATGTATTTCGTTGGTGTGGACAGCGGAGGACCAGTGCAATTCATTGGTGCGCTGATAGCAGCCGGAAATATCCAGCTGCTTTGCACATCTATTGGTGCGACGCAGTTCTGGTCTGCCCTGCTATTTGTGTGGACACCGTTCCCCAGAGTCGCACATTCAATATGGCTTGGAACACAGTGATTCCATGGATTAAGAAATGAGAGCAATTTGACTTTCCATTTCGTTTTTAGGATGGATTTGCGCCCATTCACAGCGCTGCGCAGAACGGGCATGAATCAATGGTGAGCCTGCTTCTGTCCAATGGCGTCAACGTGGACTCCCAAACATCGGTAGGTGCCTGTGTCGTACATAAAGCAATATTGTTTCACGCGAATTTCATTTGCAGAGAAGTTTTAAACCAATCAGCTAATTCCAGCATTGAAATAGTATGCCGAACAGCCAAGTTGAAGTCATTATGGATCGAATGCAGAAATTGATGTTAGAATGAAGCGTTTCCGGGCTCCTAGCAAAAATGAAATTACCGAAGTAGCTATGCACAGGAAGCATTAAATCTGTCAAGCACCCAGAGTTCCTGATTTTCTGGCGCAACGATGAAGGCACCTGCTGCGATGAATCGATTGAACGCACGCTATTTCTAGAAGCCAACAAACCGTGCGGATTGCATTGTGCATCGGTGCGTTTTCACTGCAGGCAGTATGGTTACGGTATTTTTATACGTGAATGCGATGTAATCATCGTGCACAATCAGCACATCTCGAACGTGATGCTTCAGAAATTCAGTCCAAACACGTTGGTCCGTTCTGGTGTCCATCATTTCTACAACGCTTCCGCCCAGGTATGCACAAGAAATGCATATCAAAATATAAGAAGCATATTTTATGTAGCTCTCGAAGCACACATGTGCGTCAGTGCAGTTTTGCTGTATATGATTATTTGGATTAACTTATGCTTGACCTGTTCCAAACATCACCAGACACTGTCAGGATCTCGGTGGCGATCCAGGCGCACGTGCTGAAGACTTTTTCACGCAATTGGACATGGCCAATGGATGGCCGGCAATGCCGTGGGCTCAGAAGGCACATGCCTCATGTGGTGTGCAGGCGGGGAGCACCGCCCTGATGCAAGCAGCGAAACATAACCACCTAGAAGTCGGAAATTATCTGATAGAGAATGGAGCGAGTCTGGATATGCGAAACAAGGTTGGCAGCAGCATACCTGCAGGGGCATCATTCGGGTTCTTTCCAAGGGTTGTCTACCTGACTTTTTCACTCGCAGTGCCATCAAATCCTTTGACTTGAAAGGAATGCGACGTATATGTGTAGGAGATCCACGGCACATGGTTGTGGTTTGAATACTTGGATTATTCAGAGCTTCTGGTCGCACATCGCATAGCATGCGGAAAATCCGAAGTGGCCAGAAACGTCGCGAGTAATGTCGCTGCTACAAGTGGAGACCATTGAGACCTTCCAGATCTGAGATGCCCCGCGTTGAATGGAGTTGCAGTATAGATACACTATGCACGCGCAGGTTTGGAATGCAAGGTGTTGCAGACACTAGCGTAAAAAGGACCAAACAACACTTTTTGCGAAGTATACATCTAATCTGTGTCGTGCATGCTAAAAACACGAAGATAACCCAAAGCAGTAAATTTTGTACACGTTTGAACATGCGTTATTTGGCCCTCTTTTGTTTAGAAATATTTGCGAACAGCATTTGATTTACCCAATTTTTGCATTGATTATAAAATATCCCATATCCGGGATACTGCACAAGATATGTGTTTATTGTTATCCTTCCCATATCATGCATGTCAAATACGGTATGGACACCATATCTTGGATGCGTATGTCCAGGATGTGGCCATGTCTTTGATGCGGATGCTCCATTTTCGAGACATGGTGCATCCTTAGTCTTTGTAGAGTGGCAGGGCACGTCATATTCAGAACAAGCAAATTTCCCCCGATGTATGTAGCGCAGTTGCTGATGTAACGACGCTTTGAGTTCATGCGCATTAAAGCTGTGCATCTACAGTAGCTGAAATTCTATGCACATGTAAAGGATATGGAAATTTATAGATTTTTCAGCTCAGGTGTATCAGCATGGTCAATTGACGGCCATCGGTTTCAGCAGCCTTGATGGCTAAAGTTTGAGTCTGCCAGCAATCGGATCGCAGGGCTGTAATACTCCATTTCATGAACATCGAATGTTTCTTTCATACCACGCCATATTCCAGCATTAATTGAGTCATTGCTTGACTGAAAAGAACTGCTAACTGCCTCTTACCTGTTTTCAACCTGATTTTTTGTTGAGGCGTCTCTTCTTATCTGTGCAATACGCGTTGCAGCATATTACAGCAGGGGAAGTAACAAATTGAAGGATTTCTGCCCACAGAGATGTCAGTGCCCCTCTCTCTCTCATCAGCGTCGTCATTGCCAAAAGCTTGTCCATTGCGCATTAGCGCCTCCATCTCCGCCCCTTTCTCCGACCTTCTTTCCGCAACAATTTGTCTGTCTCGTTCAAAGACCCATGTTCATAAAGCGAATCGTTGCAGAGGCAGCTGCCTAGCACATTCCATGAATGGTTACACTCAACGCTGCCGATGATGGCCCCCAAGCCTTGATGTTCTCCCCGGCCTGCGTCAAAGCAGTCGGGAGTTAAACCACTGGAGCTGGCAAATTTCGTGGAAGAGAAGCAATGCTCCATTTGAAAGTGCTATTGACTCAACATTGCTCAGCGCAGTGGTGACGCGATTTCCTATTTTCGAAAAGCGAGTTCAAACGGACGGGCTTCAAATGAAGAAGCGCGTTGCATTTTGCCTGATTCGCTTTTACATGTGAAATCAAGTGTACATAACTTGTCATGCGGCATGTGGCAAGATTAATGTCAGCAACGTGGGTATTATGATAATACTATTATCGTGAGACAATCCATCGGCATGGTGGATTCAAATGCTTTTATATAAAGTACATGTTCCCAGCGCTGGAAATCAAACTTTGGTGTTGTGTAGCATGGCTGGACTGCGCTGGCGTACGCATCTTCTAGGAAGCACGGGGAGTTTGTGGCACTCTTGATGGGTCGCGAAGCAGCCGTATTCCAGCCGAACCAGGTGTGAAGATGGCAGCGGTTCCATGTCTTTGTGTCGACACTCATTTTATTCTTTATTGACGCATGCAACGAAAGAGTTTGAGCTTTGTTGGACCCGCTAGAGCCTATAAGGAAGAAAGAGTTACTCAAGTAGTGCAAGTCACATGCCAGTATTGCGAGCAGGACTTCCCCTGACAATGAATGATGACTGAGTTTCAATTGGAATTTAAGCAGTAGCGAGACACACATTCCATTGAACCGTACATACAGGAGTTCCGCATTTGTTTGTCTTTGCGAAAAGACTGGCGCTCTCAAAAAGTACTGTGAGGCGTTCCGAACATGAGGCGTTCACTGATATATAATGACTGGTCACGTCTTTTATGCCGACTGTACGTTTTCCTGCGGGGGCACATTAGTTAAGGGAAGACGATATGTCGGTTTTGGTATGTTTAGACTCAATTTGACGTTAAGCAAAACCCCCCACATCCGCCCTTCTTTCTTTCTTGTTGCAATAAACCGGATGGTCAGGACTCATGTGCTGCCCGTCGAGCGTAGCCTGGTGAGCCTAGAGAAGTCCAACGGACCTAATGGAGTCTTCATGGGGGGTTGTGGAACAATCTCCACCCTTTGGGGGACTTGACTTGCAAGAGATTAGACTTGTTGTGATGAATATTCACACCTGGTCATGCGGCTCCCCTCTCGCATGTTTTTCGCTCTTCATGGTGCATTTGTTGTGTGATTCTTCCTGCTAGGTGCTCCATAGTAGGGAGGCTGTACGTCATCCTTTAAAGCATGTAAAAAGCCTCACACTCATTTGCTTGACATGCTTTGTTTGATTTGTAACAAATCTTTACCCCCACCCCCACCCCCACCCCTCCCCACGTCAATACTTATGTCGATGCCAGGATGACTCAGCAACATTATCTAGTAGTCGTATACAGTTATTAGGTGATTTAGGGGAGGAAAGCGGTCGAAGTTGCGTTGATTTCAATGAGTTGGAAAATGAGAATTTATATGTATGAAGATTGAACACTTGGTGGAGGTTTGGAAACAAGACAAGAGTCGTTGAAGCCAATATGTGGCGTCTTTTTGTATCTTTCCTCCTTTTGTCCATTCGCAGCATTTCCATAATCTCTTGGCATCGATGTCACAGGCTTGTGACGCCACAGGTCTGGAGCTCCCACCCCGCCTACCCTTGCCTAGTGTCAATTGATGCTAAGCACACCAAAACTGATATAGCGCCATCCCTATGTAATGGTTACATTTCAGAAACTTTGATCGTAATGGAGGACTAGCCGCTCCTCCATGTCTTCATGGCTTGTGGCAATCATTTTCTATACTAAACGCGCTTGCGCATGAATGCTTGAATCAGCAATCCCGAGATTCAACAATTTTTAAAGTACTTTTTGAGCTCACTTGCTTTAATGTTTAATGCAATACAGAGTTTCAGTAGACAGTCCTCTCGCTGGGTATAGGGATTAACAATTGATGCTCTATTTGTTGTTGGTTGTGAAGCTAGTCGTCAACAGTTCTCAATCCAGTCACTAGCAATTATTCCGCCCGTGTCGAGCTACAATGGATAATCCTTTTATGCAATGTGGATGATCGGACTGGCTGCCTTACTCTCCGGTGTTGCATTTCAGGTTCCGCGTACTTTGATGGATTCAACTGGCGCCCGCTCCCCAACAGTGTTATTGGTGGGTTGAACTTGATGATCGATTTGTAAATCTCCTGAATGCAGTGTGCATTTGTTGCGCCAATTCATTTCCGGCATTCATCAGGACCACCAAATGTTGCCATGAACGACTGCTGCACTATATAAGGCGAACAGGCCGAGCAACTTTTAAGAGCAGCATGCAGTGCAACTGAATTCAAAAGTACTTTCCAGTGCGATGCAGGGATTTGCATTTATTGGGAAACATCTGGAAATCATGTGCACCATGGCAGAAATGTGCAATGGACAGCTGCTGGTGATTCGTTGTCCGTGCTTTGACTCACCAGACACAGCGGCGAACGCCATGTCGGATTTTCTTTCGTGTTCCACTTCAGTGCTTTTAGAATTCTGATGGCTTAGCGCTGTACCTTGAAGATGATATTCAGTTTTTCTCTTCATCGATGCAAGACGATAGGTGCCAAGACAGTGCTCCGCAGGTGCACACAATGGCTAGGAGGTTTTGCTGCGCCCAGCCTAGGCCGTTGGGGTGCTGACTCAGTGCCATTTGCAATGCAGGGAACCTTCGATAATTCTGATGACCCTTTCGAGCAGCAAGAGTCGTCGCACGAATTCTTTTCCGTGGGATCTTCTCATCAGGTGCTGTCAGCAAATACCAAACATGGAGTACAAATGGCAATACATGGCTTGATAAACAATTAAAACTCTGTATCCATGCCCAGCACCAGCATCCCACTCGCAGTTGCTAGTGCAAATGATATAAACGACGACTCTGTGCGCAACTACGCAGTAGCAATGATTGTGTCAAGCAAATGTGTCCTGGTATGAATTGAAGGTGCAGCCAGGCTTGGTTTTCACACCGTAAAAACTGATCGCATTTACGTTTTATGCGTAAAAATAGTTTTTAGGTTTTATGCATAAAAATGCGTAAAAATACGTAAATACAACGTGAAAACTTCCGTTGTACATAAGGACTGTACATACACATTTACAGAGTCCGGAGAGTGGCAGCCAAACGCCTGGGAAGAGGCAGAAAACGAGTTTTTGTTAAACGCCATTATCGCTTTTGCCAAGGGCGAGGTGGACATTGTGTTGCGGGTGCTGGAGATGGCGCAGGACTGATCATTGTACGCAACTTTCATCGTGCAACCTAGGTGTCCCAGGGAACCGTAAAAACGTAAAAATAGCCGTAAAAATATGTCCGTTACACCTAAAAACGTAAAAGTAAAAACGTAAACGTAAACGCAAATATCAAGTCTGGGTGCAGCGGTTGGGCTTGCTGTCGCAATCCAGTTCTGTACCTTCATTGTGCGGATGAGCAAGTTGTCGCAGTCGGTGTATCCTTCAGTTGCAGATGTTTGTCATTGGAGCACTGTGGATCCGGTTGCACATAAATTTGAAAAGATTCTCAATACTACCATGAGGATTCTACAATCAGAAGGATCTCAAGGGAGGGCGCATCCTGTCCCTCATGCCGGAGACCGGCCAGAAGCAATTGAAACAGCAGATGCGTCGTGAGCACAATTAAATGCAGCGGCCTGGCGCAGGGCGCGCGGTTGTGCGTGTTGTCATCCTTAAAACTATGACAACCAATGGTAAAATACGGGGATTTCTTACCAGACAGTGCTTTGCCCAAGTCCTACATATGTCCAGCCGGCCTGCTCCACATCCTCGGAACTTGTCCTCTGAATGGGGAACCTGCAGTCGGTCGCGGAGCATGGCTTGTGCAAGACATGCACCGCACAGCGTTGCCTCAAGAATCTGATGCTCACAAGAACTTTTGCTCTGATAGGAGGGTGATTCCTTATGGGTGTTGAATATAAAATTTGATGGGACTTTCTTGATGCCTGTGCTGAAGTAGAGCACATTATTTTGATTTTGATTTCGTCAATGAGCTCAAGGTGCAGGAATGACCGACCGCGATGTCCTGAAGTGTGCCCTAATCCTGTATTTCGAAATTTTTCGTGCCCTTTGGCTCGCTTCACGTGCAACGTTATTGAGTTGCGATCATTCCCATGTGTGCAAATTGCAATGAAGGGGAGGCTGCATGAGCAAAACTGAGGAACGCTATCTGTCCACTTGTGACGCATTAGGCTTCAGAAACGAGTACTTCCTGCTCAGTAGCACTTTGGCATGGGCACCACTTCGTCGAAATGCCGCTCCTGGTCACCGTTGTACTGCAAGCAAAACTTGACTGCTCGCATTAAGACTCTGGTAAACTCACTCGTGATAGTGCCCAGTTCCGCATTAAACACATGTCGATCTTCAACTCGACGAAGTTGACATGAGCATTCGAATGTTTTTTTTTGTTTTTATTTTCCGCACAGGACTCAAACGAACCACTCATGTCATCTCAAGGGGGCCCTGTGCTACGATCACATCAGCTACTGATGCTCGCAATGCAAGCTATTGAGAGTTGAAAATGTCGTCCACACAATCTGGAATCGATACTGTGATGAACAAAGCTTGGATAATTGCAACTTTTTCGATTGTTGGTGGGTAAAGTTTCCACTCAACTCAAGCCACCATTTGGATTCACTGACGAGGAGTGGCATGTTTCCAGCTGTACATGTGGCGCAAGGAATTTAACTCTGCATCTGCCATGGGCTTGTTTATGGCAGGCACTCTCCACAATCAGCAAAATTCCTGAAGATGGAAACGACGATGAGGGTGGAGATGGAGACGGAGACGGAGATGAAGATGAAGATGAAGTGGGAGAAGGAGATGGAGATAGAGAAGGAGAGGAAGATAGAGAAGGAGATGGAGAAGGAGGCGGAAGAGACCTGATGCGCAGTCTGGCCAGTGGAGTCACGAAGGTCCGCACTGACTCCTTAGCATACGAAGTGGCCATAGACGAGTGGACGAGTGAAAAAATTTGCCGTTTCGTCAATAGTACATGAATCACATGTCTCCTCTTATGCACCGATGTTGTTTTCTGTGTGCAG